AAATCACATTGAGAAATTCATATTTGTCCTTAGTTCGAGCAGAATAAGAATTTTTTGTAATTCCTGAAAACAGCATGCAGCATCTCTTTTGCTTATTCAATTTTACAATTTTACCATGTTGTGATACCTGTAAATTTCTGCAAAATAATGATAAATCAGGATCTTTATTAAATATATACCAAGTGTCATTTCATTAAATGCCTATCACAGTTATGACCAAAAATGGCATTGTTCCTCAAAAATTTTGAAGCAGTTAATAATAATGTATAAATTAATTATGTATAATGCAAAATTATGTACATAATATAATATTGTACAATGCAAAAATATACACATTTTCATATGCATGTAATTCATATGGATTCATATGCATATTCTCGTTATGTAATTCAAAAATATCCTGTTAAAATAATCACGCATGTCTGCTCTTTATAGTATATTTGCTAGCAAATAACAACATATACAATAGCATAAAATACAGGCATATAGTTACATTTAGATGCTACTTCTTTGTATTTTATCCATATCAGCATTGATTTATGAGTGTAACTATTGAACCTAATAAATCAATCACTTATAATATTAAGAACTTGTAAATCATAATACATACATATTCTAAAGGACATACACTGCTAGCCACCGTAAATGCAACACCCTGAAGGAAGCACGCAAATAACATGAAATTTACAACATGTATTAGCGGAGGTGAGATATGCAAATGATTAGAATTTCAGCGCAGACACACATCATGTGCGCCTCTGGCGCCACTTTAAAGTGCTATTTAAGGCTCGGAGTTTTCGACGATTGTCGTGTTGGACCAAACCAAACAACTGTAATGCGGATATGTGACCGTTGAATGAGGAAGGGTACGACAGACCAACGTGTTCGATCGCATCCACCTCAGTGCACCATTTCACGTGATGACAGGAACATTGTGCACATGGCAGTGACGGATCGCTCAGTCACATGACGAACCATAGCACAGCACATTCAGTCTGTAACGCATCATCCAGTGTCAGAGTGTACCATTCGATGTCGTTTACAGCAGAGTGGTCTGTTCGCAAGACGTCCATTCCATTCGTCTACCTTTGACACAGAACCACAGACGTCTCCGCCTCCATTGGTGCGATGAAAGAAGAATGTGAACAGCAGAATGGAATGAAATTGTCTTTACTGACGAGTCATGCTTCTGTCTGCAACACCCGATGTTTGGATTCGAGTCTCGAGACACCGTGGAGAGAGGATGCTGAACAGCTGCCTTATGCACCGCCATACTGATCCTGCAAGGAGTATTACGGTATGGAGCGGTATTGTATATCATTCTTGCACTCCTCTAGTACACATTGCCGGTACTTTAAACTACATCTCCGAGATGTTGGAGCCAGTTGTCCTTTCTTACCTTCAGGGCTTGCCCACAGCCATATTTCAACAGGATAATGCGCGACCACACGTGGCACGCATTGTCCAAGGGTTCTTCGTCAATCGCCAGATTGAATTGCTTCCCTGGCCGGCTCGCTCTCTGGATCTTTCGCCGAATAGAAAACATGTGGTCCATGGTTGCTGAACGATTGACCCAGATTACATCCCAAGCTGCCACACCAGATCAACTTTGGCAACGTGTGGAAGCTGCTTGGTCTGCTGTACCCCAAGAACACATCCAAAGTCTCTTTGAATCAATGCCGAGGTAGTGTGTGGCAGTGGTGATCTCCAACAATGGCGGCTACTCTGGCTACTGATTCTGGAAGGAACCACACTTCACAGAAGTCTATAAATTTAATCATTTGATACTTGGTCAACATGTTATCTACTAAATAAATTTTGTTGTGATATCTCTCGTTTTTCTTGGTGTTGCAATTTAGGTGACCAGCAGCATATCTGCATCTACCTCTTTTTGGTACTGTTCTACTATTGGAATCGTATTGATATATCACTGTTGTTGATATATGACAATGCACGCATGTAGTATGTATGTGCATATATGTGTAAACACAAACATACATTTGTGCTTCTATATAAACATGCATACATGAACACATACATACATTTATTTCGGGATCCAGTACTGGTAACAGAACAAGACCCTCTTTTCATTTATCCAGTTATTTGGATATGTTACCCACACATCTCACAATAAATACAATAAATAATTGTTTGAAACTTTGTATATACTGAAAATGTACCTTTAATTGTTATATTCTATTAATTGAGAAATGCATCTTAAAGTTTACTTCCATTTTTTTATAAAATATCTACCCTCACACTCCCATGGAACATATCAATATTTTCCTAATTTTTCTTTAGATGATAATTTTGCTCATTTTTCATCCACTTATATTTACTAGCAGTAGTACATAAAAGCAGGGAAAATAAATTCTGTGTTACCTTATCAAAAGGAAGTACTTCCACAGTTATGAAAAAAAAAAAGAAAAGAGAAGAAAATTTTGCCTTCAACTGCCTATTTTAAAGAACAGAGTACAGTATAAATGATATATCATGTAATTAATTTTATTAAACAGACAAAAGGCACATAGTAAAATCTTATATATTAGTATCTGTACATACCTCTGTGACACATATTTGCATTCAGATTTATAATTCTGCATGTAATATATATATATATATATATATATATAATAGTTTTTATCTCACTTTAACTTCAGGATTTGTTTTTAATTTAAATTAATATCAATTTTTGCATATAATAAGGGGTAAAAAATTACATAATCAATATAACAATTACTTAAAATTTCGTAATAAATTTTACCTTGGGAATTAAAGTATAGGGTATATATATTTTTAAACATTAATAAACAAGATGAAATTAATTTATATGTACCTTCATTTTATGCATATAAGTAGTCATTTAATACTGGTTACATTCTTATAAAAATAATGAAATACATAATTAACAAGTCATTTGTATTTTTGCAGTTACCTTTATCTTGCAGATTACACTAAATAATTAAGTGTTGTTGAATATATACTACTAAGTTCAAATTCTAGACATCTTATATCTGGAAGGATGTAAAATCTAAATCTCTGGATCAACAGCACTTTTGCAGCCCTCTTTTTGTTAAGTATTTTCTTCTTCTTGCGATTTGATATTTTTCATAATAAAATATGTGAGAGTCTTTCCAAATTTCACACTGGGCCATCATATTTTGCTTTCATCACCACATGATCATCAATACATTGCTGTTTAAAAACTGCCCACACACTGATATATAAACATTTTAAAAAAAATAATAGGTTTTGAGAGATACACTTCTTTGTCACCCTGAATGTCTTATTTACACACGTAATTTACAACATGTCTCTTATGTTGATATCCATATTTAAATCCTCCTTACGAAAATGAATGAACATTAACATGCCACACACGCAAATTTTCTCTCCAGTTTAAATTAGCATATGCTTGTTTAACTGCCCATTTGGGTAAACATCTCTTTATATACTTCACACATTTGAGGTTTCTGCACTATGTGAATACACATATGCATGTTTAAATGACTTTTGGGTTGACCTTTACATTATGGTAACTTGGTGTTTTTTTGGCGAAAATTTGGCAACCAACTCTCCTACAGCAACCCTCTATTTTTTTTCCCGCCGCCATTTTGTCTTCACGAAGTAAAGACATGTTTCTTTTCTTTTTATCTACTGAACACTTCTTCCAACAATCTATTAGCCGAATTACACTTATGCTAGAAATTTTATCTAACAAAACTGCTTAATCATGACAAATATTCACTGCAAAATTGGGAAAAAGTGCTCAATACCATACTCCTTACGCGTTTTTCAAAATAACACATACACATAAACCATGTACACGCAGACTTATTTTTACTTAAAAAAAATCCCAGAATTGCACAAAAAAAATGGCATTGCGCACACATTCTTCACTATATCCATGTACACTGCTTTTTTTTTTCTCATAAATTAGAAAAATTTCACGAAATACATGACAATTTTCTCAATCTTTAAACCCGTAAACGGTAAAAAGAACATATATGAAATTACCTGATCGCGAAAAAGTATTTACCCTTTCCAAATATGAACATTTCCACATATAAAATAAATAAAATATCCAAAAACTTTTACCTCTAAATCATCTAATACATTATACACGTCACCAACGAATTCATACCGCAACCATTACAAATACTTAGTATCAAATATTTAAATTATTTCCATGCACGTTTACTTCAACTTAAACGTATACCAAATTCCTACAAACATAAAATTCACAAAATAACTATCATTTAATTAAAATATCACTAAACCATGTACACGCCGACTTATTTTTACTTAAAAAAACATCCCAGAATTGCACAAAAATGGCATTGCGCACACCCTTCACTATATCCATGTACACTGCTTTTTTCTCATAAATTAGAAAAATTTCACGAAAATATATGACAATTTTCTCAATCTTTTAAACCCGTAAAAGGTAACATTATGAAAAAGAAATATATGTTAAATAAAAAAAAATATTGAAATTGATCGCAAAAAAAAGTAATGAACATTTCCACATATAAATAAATAAAATATCCAAAAAACTTTTACCTCTAAATCATCTATTACATTTATACACGTCACCAACGAATTCATACCGCAACCATTACAAAATACTTATTGTCAGATATTTAAATTATTTCCATGCACGTTTACTTCAACTAAAACGTATACCAAATTCCTACAAACATAAAATTCACAAAATAACTATCATTTAATTAAAAATATAATTAAATTCAAAAACACTACTACTTAAAATATAAATGAGCACATACATTAAATTAATACATACATAAATACCCATTTTGAATTCACTTTAGTTACGGCCATGGAATCCAAAAATTCACGAACACTGTTTCACACAACACAGAATAAAAGCCAAATACAAAATTTCCAGATTTTTTCCAGATTTCCCCCCTTTTCCGATTAAAGAACCGTAATTCGTCCATTAATATCACATGACATATCCCATGATCTCTCATTTCCCTCACACAAAATAATGCGTAATCGGAACTGAGTACTGCTCACATTATTACCAAAGTGCCAGGTAGTAACCTTTATCGCCTCCAAAAGGTCGCCAAACTACCAGTTACCATATTGTAAAGATCAACCGACTTTTGTGATTCAATGGATTTCACTCTACAAGTTTTCTCTCCTGTATGAATGCACATTATGCATGTTTAAATGAGATCTTCGAATAACTGATTTTTACATGCTTTACACATGATTACTCTCTCCTGTGTGAATAAGCATATGCCTGTTTAAATTAGCTTTTTGATTAAATAATTTTTTACATACTTCACACATATGAGGTTTCTCTTCTGTGTGAATAAGCATATGCTGATTTAAAGTACTCTTATAACTAAATGTTTTCTTGCATACTTCACACATGTAAGGTTTCTCTCCTGTGTGAATACGCATATGCATGTTCAAATTAGTTTTTTGATTAAATGATTTCTTACATAGTTGACACATATGAGGTTTCTCTTCTGTGTGAATGAGCATATGCTTGTTTAAACTACCCTTTCTACTAAATGTCTTCTTACATACTTCACACATATAAGATTTCTCTCCTGTGTGAATACGCATATGTTTGTTTAAACTACCCTTTTGATTAAACGTTTTCTTACATACTCCACAGATAAAAGGTTTCTCTCCTGAGTGAATAAGCATATGCATTTTTAAATCAGTTTTTTGATTAAATGATTTCATACATACTTCACACTTATGAGGTTTCTCTCCTGTGTGAATAATCATATGCTTGTTTAAACTGTCCTTTCTATGATATGTCTTTTTACATTCTTCACACATAAAAGGTTTCTCTCCTGAGTGAATAAGCATATGGCTGTTTAAAATATCTTTTCGATTAAATGATTTCTTACATACTTCACACATATAAGGTTTCTGTCTTGTGTGAATACGCATATGCCTCTTTAAATGTGGTTTAACACTAAATGATTTCTTACATACTTCACAAACATAAGGTTTCTCTCCTGTATGAATAACCATATGTTTGGTTAAACTACTCTTCTGATTAAACGTTCTCTTACATATTTCACATATAAAAGGTTTCTCTCCCGAGTGAATAAGTATATGGCTGCTTAAAGTATCTTTTCGATTAAATGATTTCTTACATACTTCACACATATAAGGTTTCTGTCTTGTGTGAATACGCATATGCATGTTCAAAAGAGCTTTTAGTTTATATGATTTCTTACATACTTCGCACATGTGAGGTTTCTCTCCTGTGTGAATAAGCATATGCTTGTTTAAATTAGACTTTCCACTAAACGTCTTCTTGCATACTTCACATATAAAAGGTTTATCTCCTGTGTGAGAGCGCAAATGGTTGTTTAAATTATCTTTTCGATTAAATGATTTCTTACATACTTCACACATGTGCAGTTTCTCTCCTGTGTGAATAAGCATATGCCTGTTTAAATAACACTTTAAATTAAATGTCTTCTTACATACTTCACACATATAAGATTTCTCTCCTGTGTGATTAAACATGTTTAAATTATTCTTTACATTCTTTCAATAATGTTTAAATGTCCTATTGCATACTTCACACATGTGTTGTATATGCTTGTTTAAATTATGCTTTACACTAATTGTCTTAGATATTTCACACATATAAAGTTTCTCTCCTGTGTGAATAATCATATGCATGTTTAAATGAGTTTTTTTGATTAAATGATATCTGACATACTTTATACAACTAAAGGTTTCTTTCCTACGTGAATAAGGTTATGCACATTTAGATGAGCTTTTCACTTAAATGATTTTTGATTGATTTCAATAAAAAGATCCTTTATACGATGATGCTTCTCTCCTGTGTGAATAAGCATAGGCTTGTTTAAACTCAACTTTTATCTGAATGACTGATTAAATTCCCGATACACATATTTCTCCTTTGTATGGGTATCCATAAGCTATTATTATACATTTCTTCTTCCAAAAGATGGGCTGTGTACAACTAAACACGAATCTCCATCTTGATAAGCTTGTTAAATAAATCAGGATGATGTTTATGCTCTGAATGGATTCAATATAGGGCGGTTAAGCGAATTTCACCCCGAACTACTTCTGGACATTGCACAATTATTGTTCGTTGCTTGTGTAAATGCACATTTAATTATCTTGAACAAAATATTAATATATATTGTTCATGAGACTTATCTAATGTGTTGCAGAAGCTTCGCTTGATTTCCATTAATACTTCAGTAAAAAGTCAATTTGTTACATTAGACAGAAATAAGATTTCTAGTTCAAAAATATTCATGTAATTACGTGTTAATTTACGCTTTTAATCATACGTGCTTCATTATTATTACTACATTAAGTTTTGATTCTTCTAGATTTCTTAGTTAGTGCTTTACAGTTGCTTATAAATGCTACATATTTTGCACATTTCGCGGCATTAAGAAGTCCACATTGCTAAGCGTATGACTACAAGGAAACCAAAGTTCATTTTAATTTGCAACACATACAACTCATTTATTACTTCATACGTCAGACAGACAGATACAAAAAAAAAAAATTCCTTTTTCGCTTTGTTCACGTAAAGATACGTTCGAAATTCACATTACGTGAATTTTTTGGAAAACGAGTACATAAAGAAGAGTAGTATAAGCAATGCTAGGGCCAGCTTATATGTGACGCATGCGCTGTAGGTATATTTTCAGTCAAAGCTATATATCACGGAATGTAAAAACTCCGTGCTATGATATTATAATGGAGGTTAGAATCAAGGCCAACTTATTCTTATGAAAATCGTATTTTATTCTTGAGTATCAAGATCTAGAAACATCTTTTTAGTAGTAGACAGATGTCTTGTTTTGCACCCGCTAAGTCTTTCTGCTCCGATGGGTGAAAAATCAAGCTTAGGTGCGAAGGAAAAGTATAGAGCACGGAGTATAATGAAGGATGTGAAACTGCCTAGTAGACAAATCCTAAAATCAAGGTTCCTTAATATACTAAGGTTAGGCCAGGAACGGAAAATGCGTGCCATTGGTTGCTGGTAGTGACGTCACCCGGGAGACAAGACGCATCGGCCGACGCGTCTGCTACATGATTTTGGTAATGGAAAAAGTGTAAACTAAAGCAAAATGATAATTTTATATGTGGTAGATACACCGGAAATACCGGGTATATACTTTCCGATTAAGTATTTTGTTAAAGAAAATGTTTATTTTATGCACAGAATTCGTACGAATGCTGAAAATAATTGTAAACATTAAATTCTTTTCTTAAAGGAAAGCATTAGAAAATGAAAAACGATATTTAAGTTAATTAAGGGAAATAATATTGTAAAACAAGGTATTTTTCAATATTTTTTTCGTAGTATTGTTTGCACTAAATAATCTTGTTGAACAGAACACATGATGGCATAACTGCTAAGACCACCATGGTAAAAACATAATCAAAAGTATTATTCTATTTATTTTCATTGCTCATGCACTTTTTTTAATACAAATGAACTTGACATTCCATGAGAAATATATGATCGTGATTTTCAGTTTAAATTACATATCTCAAGCAAAATATATATAAAAAGATTTGACTTAACAATTCATATTTAAATACCATAAAATTCTACAAATTTCTTAATATCCGTCATTATACTTTTAAATAGTATACTTATCACATTCTTTTTAAAGTGAAAAATCACTTCATACTAATTCACTTCAGATTTTAGCAGAAGTGCGTATATTTTCAGTATAATCTAAAAGTACTCTTATAATCGCTTACACTCCCAAGATTTCTATATAACATTTATCCTGACGTGATTATTTGCTAACGTGATTATTTAGTAAATAATCTTCGATATTGGCATCCTATTCTTCCTTCCATACATTAAAAAGGGAACAATTAAAATACATTTTCTATATATGCACAATAATAATAATATACGCACAATAATAATAATAATAATAAACTTGCCCTACATCTTAGTTTCGGCCCACCAGCGGCCGAGCGGTAAAGTCGCTGAGCACTGGTAGTTCGGTCCGAATCCCGCGAACGGGCTGGCTGCATGGGTGTTTTCGTGGTTTCCCTCATGCGTATGAGCCAGTTTCCCTGAGAAAGTCCTCCACGAAGGCATCACACCTATTACGCAGATAGCCCTAGTGTGCTTTGCCATAATTAAATACACCACCACATCTTAATTTCAATTCAGCCTGTACACAAATTAAATATTTTTAATTACTAATGTATTTTTATCAGGTTGTTTCTTAAAATACTTTTGTTATACTCGAAATATGTGTTCAATATTGAATTATTTTTCTTTCTCTTATAATTAAAAACAAGTTATATGGAATCAAAATTAAAACATATGCAGCAGTTAAATAACACTCAACAGATATCTTACTTACTCTTTCTCTATTTGTATTCTAGCATTATACACAGATTTGTTTTCCTTCAGGTTCAAGCATGTGTAAGTTATATCAATTAAATTACATCACACATACCGTATGCATCAGTTAAATAACACTGAAGGGAAATATGTCACTCACTCATTCGATATTTGCATCATAGTGTGGTCGAGAATTGTTCTTTCCTCACGGTGAGGCATGTACCAGTTACTTAGTTCGCAAAGCTTAACCCAGACGCTGCTTCAATCATAGAATTACGTTTGGGATGTAAGAAAGTAACCAAAACATGTGAATGAAGTTAGATACGCGAATTTATTAACTAATCATTCAGGTACTCAGTATTGGTAAACATGACCTGAGTTTACTATCTCACTACGATATAGTCTCATACCAAAATGAAGATTATGAAAAAAAAATGATTTAAAATGAGAAATTTTTCAATTTAAATGTAAAATAGCAGTAAAATGAAAAATAATGTAAAATTACATCCAGTTTATTATGAAAACTACATAAATTCATTAAAAAGTAAGTTATTTTATCTGGGTTGTAAAGAGTGTTTTCCGCCAAAAACATATTAACGTGTATAATTCTGACACAACGCTATAGCACATTTTCCACTTCCGCCTAGGTATAGCAAATTAACAACACAAATCAAATCAAACTGTTGATGCAACGAAAGTAAACAAACGCCAAGAACTAACGCTGTCACCCACATGACGTCATGCGTATGTGGCATAACTTTCTCCCTGCACTGCGCATCGCTCTTGGGCCCCCCTGTCCTAAAATGTTGCGTTCACTAGATGGCGCTGCTGTTCAGTTCTAAATGTAAACAATGGCTTAGCCAGCCAGCTAAGCCAAAGAATATGTATTCTTGTAGACATTCTTTGGCTAAGCTTACTAGCGAATGAAAAAATGTTTACGTTTTTAATGTGATGGATTGCGTTGTTATCAACGTTATAATGTTCTGCTCACTAATGATTCTATTTTATTCTTCAAATTATAAAATTAATTGACAGCTTTCATGCTGTAAGTCTTGTAGTACTTTTTATGAAAGATTAATTTGAAGATATTTTTCAGTCCCTCCCCTTAGAAAAATAATCATATTACTAGTAATAATACTTGCTGTGTATATGTTACATTTAATTAGAATAGGTTGTTCGTGTCTCTCATTTTGTAAAACGCTTAGATACACAGCTTATTATAAACTGTGGCGAAATTTTAATGAAGCTTATAGAATTTTTTGCTTCAGTCATTAGATTCTCTTTACTATCATAATGAGTTATTCTTTTTTATGAATCAGATGTCAGTTTTGATTTTGATATTTTTATCATTTTCTGTTAAAAATTTCCATATCTTTGTTATTTGAGAAATATGTTTCAAATTGATTTCACAAGATTTTAAAATAGAATTCCGATTTGAATTTAGTTAAGTATTCTAGACACTTGGTTATGCTGGACTGTATATTATTCATAATTAAATATAAAGAGTAAAAAATATTGAAACTAATTCAATCTATCTTTAATTTTGTCCTGCTTGAACTAACTTCTAACCAATAAATGCAGTATTTTAACTAAAAATATAATGCAGATCTATTTTACTTTAAAAGTACATGTGCTCTTTCCCTCCAAAGGAGGAAACTTCTAATGAATTTCTTATGTTTAGAAAATTTTTGTCACAGTTATAATGAGATGATATTTTCTAGCTGTTAAGTTTTAAATTGATACATGTAGCTTTTTTGAAAAAAATGTTGTGCATGTGTTATCTTTTACTGGAAAAGATCCCCTATTTTTTATTTTCATTTATTGAACTGATTATTTACAAATAGAGTCTAATTACATTTGTTGCAAAACTACCAATTTAACATCAGAATACCTAATGTGTGCTTGTTGCAGTATTTAAAAAATATGTAAAACTGAAGTATTTTCTCTTGCAGTAATTATTTACTTTTTTATTTTCAATTTAATATCTCTTTTTCAACGATTAAAGACTCGCAGTGTGACTCGTAGTGAAAGAAACAAGTTCAAGTAAATAACAAAAATTTATTAAAAATGTAACAGTAGTTACATAAATAATCCTGAAACAATCTTACCAGTATTGTTTTATATTGTTACACACAAGGGTGAGCTATAGGAGGCTAGAGTGATTCATTAAATTTGTGTTCAATTTGCAAGCACCTTGTTCTTTCCCACCAGCAGTTGAGCAGCTAAAAGTCACCAAACACTTCCTGTTTGGTCCTGGGTTCGAATCCCAGCAACAGGCTAGCTGCATGGGCATTTTCCTGGTTTTTCCACGTGAAATGTACATACAAGCCAGTTTCCCTTAGAAATGAAGGTATCCTTACCCTTAGGCAGGTAGCCCGCAAGTAGTTTGTAATTAAATAGAGCAAACCAAACCTTTTCTTTGTGTTTGTGGCTTAGAAAGTACTGCTGCTGAATGTGTACATGTACAATTTAATTCACTTAAATTTTTATACTCCCTAATTTTATGACAAATTTTCTAATGTGGCAAAATTATTTTTGAAGAACATCGATTAAATTTCAATATATTTTATCCTTTAGAAAACTAAAGTCTGTTTGAGAAAGCACACATATGCACACCAAAAAAGACCACTTACCTTGATTTCCATCATAAAATTATTTCTTTAATGCAAATTTAGAAAACTTATAATCGTATATGTTAAAAATTTATTGATAAGATCTTCACAATGCCAACATATACACAAATACTTATTAATGATACTTTTGAATAACAAAGCAAAAATCACCATTCAATTTCACGAACAATTTCTAAAAATTTTGTGACTATTTCCAATTCTTTTGCTGCACACTGCTTCGAGAGCATGTATTCTGCTAAATACAATGCAAAGTCTCCATTTGTGTTATATTGGGGTAGCTGTGTTTTAATGTGCCGCCATGTACCTTCAATTGTATTTGTGTGTACTCCTCGAGAAATTCCATGTCTCCATTTTTCTAGCAGCACAGAATACTGTAAAAAATATTTCATTAAGTATATATAAATATCAGAATTCAGTTACATACAAAATAAAAATATACTTGTTGCGTGTAATTTTTTTAAATTACTTTGATGCAAATTTAATTTGGATATTGTAACGTAAAATTAAAATTTAACTGCAGCATGTAACACTTGAACAGTTCTATAAATTCAAATTTAAATTTAAAATCCTTGTGCATAATGGTTTTTCATTCTGCGTGTAACAAGATTTAATCTTAATTTTTAATAGCCCTTTTCAGTGATCAGGTGGCATGATTTCATATTCAATGACTTATTTAATTGCTGATTTATCTCACAAAAAGCCATTTTCATACACTTATCTGCTGTTAGTTTTCGCCAGTCTGCAGCATGTCCTCTTTTTCCCTTTTATTATAAAACCTATTTCAACTGAAAGAAAATGAGTTTCTTCTTTTCTGTAAATGAATAGAGGTCAAATACTCTATCATTCTTGCATATTTCAAAATTTATTTAACTTTGAAATCTAACGGTGCATACTTCATGGACGA